GGGTTTTTCTAATGCAAGAGAAAAAGATTTTTGAAGGGCATTAGGATGTCAGGATTGAACGAGGTAATTTGAAGCGAATTACTTTTTTCTATCAGAAATGAAGTGAATTAAAACTCCAAATCAATCGTCTTTCTCCTAACCCCCCCTCCCCACCTCCACATTCCACCCCCTTCTCCCTTTGACGGAATTACAATTATAGATAATTATATGGAGGGAAGTTTTAATTGTCCGGATTAAGAGGGATACAATTTTCCTTAGGATCAGAGGGGACTTTTTTTTGAAAAGTAGTTTCCTCATAAAAATCAAATCAAAGGTTTCGAGTTGTTGAAAACATCAACAAAATCTCTTTACTGGTTAATTGGAATCGCATCCAGTTCAGCGGCGGATCAAATCACCTCCAACAATTAATTTAGATTTAATTCTGTAATTATCAGCAAATCGAGTAATGTGCAAGTTAATTTAGATAGTTAAAAATTAACTTGCGTGAAGTTAATTGAGTAATTAAAACCCTCAACTGCCGCCTATTAATTTGCTAATTAAAAATAAATTTGATTTTGTGTAATTTAAAGTAATATTGACATCAGTGTTGGATGGGCGGTTTTATTAGTTTTATCTGGATGGGGAGTTGAGGCAGACACCTGCTATCCGAGGGGCCTGGCGGGGCCGACCCCTGCCCGCTGCCCCCGGGACGGGCTCGCCCCTCGACGGCCGGGGACGCTCGGGGTGGGCACGGCTCCCCACAGGGACCTGTCACCCCGACACTGTCTCCTCTGAAGTTCCGTGCCCGGGGTGTTGTTGGGGTGGCAGGTTATGGGTGAGGAGCCCCTCCAGGTGCCCCGGGCTGTGGATGGCTCAGGGAACCAGGAGGGTGGCTGAGAGAGGGGGAAGAGCCCAGCCCACCTTCACCGGGCTAAATCTGTCCCCTCCACTCTCCAGAGGCAGGGCCGGGTCCCTTCCAGCCCCATCATCCAGGTGCATCCCCTCGGCCCTCGTAAGTGCCAGTTCCTGCCCACGGCAGCTTTGTGTGCGACCCGGACCGGCCGGGGGCTGCAGGCAGAGCTCTGCAGGCAGGGCTGGGGGCTGCAGGCAGGGCTGGAGGATGCAGGCAGGGCTGGAGGATGCAGGCAGGGCTGGGGGCTCCAGGCAGGGCTGGGGGCTCCAGGCAGGGCTGGAGGATGCAGGCAGGACTGGGGGCTCCAGGTAGGGCTGGAGGATGCAGGCAGGGCTCTAGAGGGCTACAGGCAGGGCTCTGGGGGGCTGCAGATAAAGTTCTGGGGCTGCAGGCAGGGCTCTACAGGCAGGGCTCTGGGGGTGCAAGCAGAACCCTGGGGGTGCAGGTAGGGCCCTGCAGGCAGGGCTCTCAGGGCTGCAGGCAGGGCTCTGGGGATGCAGGCAGGGCTCTTTAGGTTCTTTACAGGCAGGGCTTTCAGGGTTGCAGGCAGGGCCCTACAGGCATGGTTCTCTGGGCTGCAGGCAGGGCACTTTAGGTTCTTTACAGGCAGGGCTCTCTGCAGGCAGGGCTCTCTGGGTTCCTTGCAGATAAAGTTCTGGGGCTGCAGGCAGGGCTCTACAGGCAGGGCTCTGGGGGGGCAAGCAGAACCCTGGGGGTGCAGGTAGGGCCCTGCAGGCAAAGCTCTGGGGGTAAAAGCAGGGCTCTGGGGCTGCAGGCAGGGCCCTACAGGCAGGGCTCTCAGGGCTGCAGGCAGGGCTCTGGGGATGCAGGCAGGGCTCTTTAGGTTCTTTACAGGCAGGGCTTTCAGGGTTGCAGGCAGGGCCCTACAGGCATGGTTCTCTGGGCTGCAGGCAGGGCACGGCTCTCTGGGTTCTTTCTCTGCAGGCAGGGCTCTCTGGGTTCTTTCTCTGCAGGCAGGGCTCTCTGCAGGCAGGGCTCTCTGCAGGCAGGGCTCTCTGGGTTCTTTCTCTGCAGGCAGGGCTCTCTGGGTTCTTTCTCTGCAGGCAGGGCTCTCTGCAGGCAGGGCTCCTGGCAGGCTCATTCTGCCGAGCCGCTCGGAGCCTCTCCCGCAGCAATGGCTGTAAAAGCCAGTAGGAAGCTGTAAGATAAAACACCCAGATTGTGATAAAAGGGGAAACAAGGCGAGGCGAGCTGGCGTCCTGAATGCGAGTCTTGTACGTCTTATTATCAAGTTAATTAAAGCTAGCATCTGACAATGTCACTCGGCTGTAGAAAAAGGGATTTAAATGCAGCGTCTCCCAGGACTGCGTGTCAAGGGCTGCTTTTCATTGAGCTGGTGCGAGTGTTTGGCTGGAGGAACAGCTCTCCGGATTGAAGGGGGTGCCTTTAAAGAAGCAGCAATTGACAAGGAAGCAATTATTAAATTTTGATGTTCAAAAATAAGGGAAAAAAAAAAGAAAAAGAAAGACGACGAAGAAGAAAACGGCTTCTATAATTTGTGTTTTAGATGGAGAGCAATATAAAGAGATATCAAGGCCGAGAGCCATCAAAAGCCTTTCCCCCTCCCCGCATGAAAGCTCCTCTCAAACACTTTAAGAGAGATTTTTAGAAGCTCGACAAGGATCCTAGAAACATTAAAACAGAAGTCGATTTTAAATGTGCACATTGAAATGCACAGAGCCGCTTACTACGTGGACTTGCACTTGAGGTCAAGTGACGGACGGATTGTATGCTTCTCCATAATAATATTAATTAAACAATTTGCATGCTAATAAGGTAACAATTATCAGGGCTTCTGTTGAAAGATTCAGGTTATTACAACACGCCAATCTGGAGGCCAGGGGTCAGGGAGTGAGAGGCGAGAGAAATTTCAACTCAAATTAACATTCTGTCAGCTCCAGAAAATGGGATAAATAAAGTCGAATTAATTCATTATAATAAAGAGAGGGAGAGAGAGAAAAGTCCCCCCTCTCTTGTTCTGTGCTGGATTGATTACCATTCTGTATTCAGAAACACGTCCCGCTCGCATTCCTCTCCTGAAATCCGACAGAAAATGAGGCATTTATTGCTACAGGCAAAATTTGGTCCAGTGGACACAGTTTACATTTAGTATTTATAGAGAAAGAAATTAAATTATGGTGAAAAGTGAAGCCCTTGACCCCAGAATTAATACCAACCCCATCATTTTCTTATTTCTGTTAGGGCTGTGTAGTCCAAATTCAAACTACCTTTTAGCTCTAAGCAGAGGCAGGGAGACCATAATTAAACTAATCTATAGGGGGGAGGGAGGGAACAGCAATAATACAGCAGTATATTGTATGGCATTCAATTAGGTGAATAAATACAGCTCCGGACAGACAGCATAGATTAGAGACTCGACTTCCTTTTTATTTCAATTTTAACTTCCCCCTCTCTCATACCCACACAAACCAGCGCTAGGAAATGGATCATCTTGACTGGATATTTTATAACTGGAAAATCTATTTGTATGTTTTTCAGAGATAAAGTGTCTCTCCCTCTTTCCCCTTCCCTTCTCTCTCCTTTTTCTTTCCTACCTATTTTTATTTCTTTCCCTTTCTCACCCCACCGTGCCCGCCCCCCGACTCCAAGGATTTAATTCCGCAGGAACCTCCCAGGAAGATTTAAAGAGTTTCCCCGGTCTGATTTCCCGGCCCGGCCCTTTCCCTCTGCTCTTTGTTAAACGCGAATGCTGCTTCTCCCCTCTTCCCACCTTCCCAGGGGCCGGGGCAGCCCTCCCGGGGGTCGCCAGGTTGTGTCCCCCCCCGGCCCAGGGGACCGCCAGCTCCGGTCCAGAGGGCTCGGGATGGGAGGGGCTGGGAAGTTCCCCCTCTTCCTCTCTCCTGGGAGCTCGGGAAGTATTCCTCGAACCGGGAGAGGGCACAAAACTGGGGGTCCCCAGCCCCGCGCTTTGCCGGAGAACCGTCCCTTAAATTATTCACCGGGGGAATCTATCAATGCTTTATCTGGGTGAAAACTTCCATGGAGACGTAATTGAATTAGGAGCAGTTTGGCGGCTGTTTGGGGACTGGCGGGATGAAGCGTGGGGTGTGCTCCAGCGGAGAAGGGGGGAAGGTGAAATGGGAGGGATGCAGGGATGGGAACTTTGTTTGGGTTTGATTTTTAAAAATTATTAGTGGTACTAGTTTTTTGGCCTCCTCTTTAGCGATCAGAGGCTGCTTCTGGTCGTGGCTGCGCTCACAATTCAAAGGTTGTGGTTACTGCTGGAGAGGGGGGTGTCCGTGGCCGAATCGATAGGAGATTGCATTAATTATGATTTCGATTGATATGCTCAAATCTCCTCCTAAACGCTGTAAACGGCTCTTCCTTTTTAATTTTTTTCTCCTTCCTTTCCTCTTCCCCCCCCCCCCTGTTATAGAGCCGGAGAGGAGATGAAAAGGCTTGTAGTTTTAAATTCAATGTGACAGCTCTGGAAAGAGCGGATGATGAATCTCCTATTATTGGATCAGTCTATTTGCCGCTCAATGTCTCTCTGTAATTGGAGCAACATCACTTTAAAGGTTCAGAGAGTAGAGCATTTCTGGTGAAAAATCCCCACAACACGCTGGTGAATGTTTTAAAGGGAAATCTATTAGTGATTTGGCGAGGGGAGGGGACAAGGGGGAAGAGGGTGGGTTGGAGGGGTGGGGGGGAGGCTGTGTGTGTGTGTAACTCCGACTGTTTAGTTTTNCCCCTGCCCGCCCGGCCCCCGCCGCCCTCCTCGGGCTGGAGTTCGTATCAAAGCCCCCCTCGTCGTGTTGTGACAGCTCTGATATTGTTTATTGAGGCTGGATGTCAGGTATAATTAGCAATCGATATGGAAAACGTTTGCTCCCCACACTGGCACGTCTCTGACGTCAGGACCGATTAACGTTTCTTATTGGTCCCAAATTCCCCCAGCCTGAGCTAATTATTGGGAGCCTGATGTTGATAAAGTTAAAGCGCCCGGCGCCCTGCAGCATGAGCCCCTCGCCGCGCCGCCTCCTCCGCCAGCAGCACCCCCGGCCCCAGCCGCCCCGCCGCCAGCGCCCCCAGCCCCGCCGGCACCCCCCGCCCTAGAGCCGCCCCCATGATGGACAGCCGCATCCTGGAGCATCCTCATGCCCAGTTCGGGGGGATGGTGGGTTTCCCTTACCCGCTCGGGCACCACCACGTCTACGAGCTGGCCGGGCACCAGCTGCAGTCGGCGGCCGCCTCCGTGCCCTTCTCCATCGATGGATTACTGAGCGGCTCCTGCGCCGCCTCTGTGGTCAACCCGGCGCCGCTGATCCCCTCCGGCTGCGGGGTGAGCGGGGACAGCCAGCCCTTCAAGCTCGCAGGTAGGAGCGGCCCCGTTGTCGCGTGTGTCCCCCCGCCCCCCCAGCCCGCACCCGGCCGTGGCTCCGCGCCCGGAGCGTGGCAGCGCGGCGGAGGAACAGCAGCGCACCCCGCAGCCCCGCTGTCCTCAAAGGCGGATTTTGGGGTGTCTCGGAGGGGAGGGCAGGCGGCTGTGCTGGCCCCCCGAGGGGGCGGACGGCCCCGGTCCAGCGCCGGGAGCGTTCCCCGCTCCCACCGGCGCAGGGCCACGCGTGTGCCCTGAACAATAGCGGGCCCGGCCCGGTGCCTTCCCCCAAAGTTCATCGTGCGGCAGCTCGGATCGTACCATTAAAAGATGATGATGATAATAATAAAAATAATAATGGGAATCGCTGGGGTTTGGGGAATGAAGAGCGGTAATAATTGGGTTTTTTTATACGGTTTAGCCAAAGGGAAGCTTTCTCCCTCCGTCCCTCCCCACCGGCCTGTGGCACCGCTATTGTTCAGCTGCTAAAACATTCTGTCGCCCCAACATCCTTCTGGTTAAGCCTGGAGCTGCCCAACACTGCACCTCAACTAAACACAAATTATTATAATTATTACTATTATTATGATTCTTTCTTAATTTCCACACCTGGCGGAAAACATTAGGGGAGGTGCAGCCAGGGCTGAAAATCCCCAGCCTGGAGCTGTACGTACTCGAAGAGGCTGCGAACATCCCAGCCCCACGCCCGCCCGAGCTCGGGGGGACTGCGGGAGGCCCAGGGGCCGCCCTGCACCCGGGGTCCCGCGTGGAACGGGCCCAGAGCTGTGACCCACGCAGGTGCTCCGGAGGGGCTGGGGAAGGGAAAGAGGTGGGGGGATTTTAAATTTTTTAATTTTTTTTTAATGAAACCTTTGGTGGTTGGAGCAAATATTGGAACTTCTCTCTCTCTCTCTGCCAGCTGAGTGCCTGTGGAGAGCTTCCTTCAGGAATAAATGTTCTGTAAAGTACATTTTCGGAGGAGGCGAGGGCAGATCGGGTTCCTCCCCATTTTTAGCGCAGGTGTGTGAATAATCCCGCTCTTTTACCAACGCTACCGAGCACAAAAGTTAAAAGGCTCCTGTGAATGGCAGGGAGGGGGGGAGAAGGCCTGTCTCCCAGAGACCTGAGGGTATTTCTGCTTTTTCAGACTCGGGTGACCCGGACAAGGAAAGTCCTGGCTGTAAAAGAAGACGAACCCGCACCAATTTTACTGGCTGGCAGCTCGAGGAGCTGGAAAAGGCGTTTAATGAGAGTCATTACCCGGACGTGTTTATGCGAGAGGCTCTGGCTCTCAGGCTAGACTTGGTGGAGTCCAGAGTGCAGGTAAAAAACGTGTCCCCCCTCCTTTCCCCCCCTGCCCTCTCCTAGCGCCGAGCAGTCCCGGGGGAGATCCCTCGGACCCTGCTCCGGGACGGGCCCTGCGCGCTTGGGCCGCAGCCCCGCGCATCCCGGCCCTTTTGTTCCCTGCCTTGCTGCTTGCTGTCTTATTTTATCATTATTGTTATTACTATTACCCTATTTTTAAAAAAATCTTGCGAAACGAGAAGAATAGTAACCCAGCCTGGCTTCCCTTAACATTTTTTAGTATGTTTTTCCACTGTAAACATTTTTCTTAAATGAGTCAAGGGCGAGAAAATTAGCATGCAAATATGAGGCTTAATCACGGGCCAGGGTATGCTGGAGAATGTCAATAAAGCTCGTAGATGCATCGAGAGCAAGTGAAACTTGTAAAACTTAATTTTAACGAGCTGCTCAGGCCCTTGGCGGTGCAGGACGGGGAGGGCAAGCACCCATCTTCTTCAGTGGATTTTCCAAAAAATTAAATGGGAAGAGGATGGTGGGATGCGGGGAGGCTGCTGGATCTCGGGATGCTGTTCAGTGCTGCGAGCGGGCGGCGAGGCCGAGCTGCGGCCCCGCATCTCGCCGGAACCCGCGGCCGTGCGGGGGCGGCTTGGCGAGGGCTGCGTGTGCGGGGAATGCGTCCTTAAATCCACCCCGGGAGAGGGGACGGGCCCCCCGGGATGAGGCAGCGCCGTTGTCCGCGGGTCCTCACCCCGGGAGAGGGGACGGGCCCCCCGGGATGAGGCAGCGCCGTTGTCCGCGGGTCCTCCGCAGGCTTTGCTTCACCGTGTCCTTCCAGCCGCTTTCCCTCCCGCGCCGCTCCTGCGGAGCCCGGCCGGGGAAGGAGCCGGCACCGGGATTAGCGCGGTGCTCCCGAGCTGGGGCCGGGACAGGCGCTGCCGGCAGCCCCGAGGGGGCGAGGAGGGACGCGGGGACACCGGGGACCTGCCAAGGCAGGCAGGAGCAGGGCCGGAGCAGAGAGGTTTTATTTAATTTAATTTCTCTCCTGTGGTCTGTCTATAACAAACCCAACCAAAACTCATTGTGGGCTGATCCAACTCCTCTGCTCGAGCTCCCGGGAGGAGCAGGAGGTCCGAACTCCGCACGTCTGGGCGAGGCACCGTCCGTCGTGTCCCCCCCGCACCCCCTCGCTTCCAGCCGCTCATTGTGCCGTGTTTATCGCATTTTGCGTGCTGCTGCGGGGAAATCGGGCCAGCGATCGGTGCTTCTGCACCCCTCGGCCACAGGGAAGAGCTGGGGGGGCTGTGGAATCCCTTCCCTCCCCGTGGCGCCGGTTCGGGCAGGGCGCAGCGTGTGTGTGCGTGAGTGTGCACCCCCTTCTTGCTTTTCGTTTTTTTCCCTGCGCTTTTAAAGAAGTGTGGATATCTTTTCCTGCCCCTTCCCCTGCTCTCCGTTTCTCAGAGGCCCCGTTCCTGGAAAGGGGGCTGCCGGCACCTCGAAGGGGTGGACGAGGGAGGCCTGAGCTGCGCTTCTCCCCTCCGCCCCCCTCCCTCCGCCCTGGCCACCGCGGGGGGCCGGAGCGCTGGGTGTTAATTGCTTCTCGTTGTTCGGTGTGTAGGTCTGGTTCCAAAACCGCCGGGCCAAATGGAGAAAGAAAGAGAACACGAAGAAAGGCCCGGGGCGGCCGGCTCACAACTCCCACCCCACGACGTGCAGCGGGGAGCCCATGGACCCCGAGGAGATCGCCCGGAAGGAGCTGGAGAAGATGGAGAAGAAGAAGAGAAAGCACGAGAAGAAGCTACTCAAAAGCCAAAGCCGCCACCCGCACTCTCCCAGCGCCCTGTCCCTGCACAGCACGCCCAGCTCCGACAGCGACAGCGGCGGCGGGGGAGGCCTCTCGCCCGCCCCGCCTGAGGCCAAGCCCCGCGGGCAGCCCCCGCCGCCCCATCCGCCGCTCCCCGCCGAGCCCTTCTACCCCAGCCAAAGAAGCGGGAGCGGGCGGCTCCAGCGCCCGCCCGACAAGGACTGCGCGGCCGCCCCGTCGGGGGACGGCAGCGGGGGCGCGGGGGGGCCCCGCGGCGCCGGCAGCTTCCACAAGCTCAACCCGTTCAGCGTGGAGAGCCTCCTCTCCGACTCACCGCCCCGCCGCAAGGCCGCCCCGGACTTCCCCAGCCTGCCCCCCTGCGCCCCCCGCACCCTCATCGGCAAAGGACATTTCTTGCTCTACCCCATCACGCAGCCCCTGGGCTTCCTCGTCCCGCAGACCGCCCTCAAGGCCAGCCCGGGCCCCGAGGCCGGCCAGCCCCCCCGGGACTCCCCGCTGCCCGCCGCCAACCCCGGCCCGCCCGGCTGCGGCGCGGAGCCGGCGCCCGCGGGTGCCCAGCCCGGCCCCGGCTCCACGGACACGGCGGGGGCGGTGCCCCCCGCGCCGGCCGGAGCCTCGCCCCGCTCCGCGGCCGCGCACGGTGACCCGGCGGCGGCCGCCCCCGCGGAGGGCGGCAGCTTCCCCCGGCCCGAATCGCCGGTCCGGGCGCGGGACGCCAGCACAGCCAGGGACAGATCGGACTGCGGCCCCGCCGACGGCGAGGAGCTGGACATGGACTGAGCGGGCGGGCAAAACGAAACAAAAAAAAAAAAAAAAAAAAAAGCAGAAATAAAAGCAGCCGAGAGCGTCGCCGCCGCCCGTGAGAAGCGGGGGAAGGATGCGATCCCCGCTCGCCCCACGCACGCCGCGCCCGCAGCTCGCGGGAGGCGCCGGCGCAGCCCAGAGAGCGGCTCTTCGTCTCCCTAGAGTTTATCACAGGTCGATTCAGGTGATCAGTTAGAGCTTTTTGGGTTTTATATTTAAAGGATTAAAAAAAAAAAAAAAAAAAAAGATAAGAAAACGGGGTTAAAAAAAAAAAAGGAAAATTGTTTGTTAAGGCTTAGCAGCAGCTGGACTTTGTGGTGTGACAAACTGTACCGCGACAACAACGGAACTCCTCAGAACCCTTGTAAAATGCAAAAATGTCTAAGAATATTTATATATGTAAAATTTTTGATAAATAAAGGCTCTAAAACTCTCTGCCGCCTGGTCTGGCTGTGTGACTCTTCCCTCTCTCTTTACATTTTTTTCCTTTTTTTTTTTTTTTTCCCCCTCTTCCTTTAAGCCCTCTTTGTGTGTGTGCGTGTGTGTGTTTATTGCTTAACAAATTTATTCATTTATAGCCTCCCGGTGCCCACCCCTCCCATCCGAGGTTAGGAGCTGCAGGCTACGGGACCCGGCCAGCTCCTGCAGAGTTTTGATATGAAAGTAATTATTTTCCCGGTGGCTGCTGCGGGGATTCAGTTTCTTGCCCAAAGGGTTATTATACATTACCGATTTCTAGTGATATGAAATCACATAAACTTCCTACAATAATAGAATTAGCATGAAAGGCTGGGGTGTCAAATTGAAATTGGAAAAT